TTATAACCCATGCCAGGTATAAAGGTAAAAATTATATACTAATTGCAACTAATTAATATATCTCGGCTATAAAGCTTTGCTTTATTGTTGGGACTTGTTCTGAACACATCATCAAGATCGGGTATCTCTTAAATGGGGTTATTGATTTCATCCCCATACCGTAGCACTGTAGTAATAAACAAAACTAATATGTGGTTGCATTCTACTGAGTTCATCCGAATTAGATAAGTGTAAATAATGCCGATCTTTTGGAGGGGGTAAGCTGGAATACCCACTTTTTGTCGAAATTTTTGGTGAGGTCGGCAAAATATAAAAGAGAAAGAAAACACTTGAAACCACCAAAAGAGTGTAGGTTTTCTTTTACTAGAATCAACTATTTACCGGAGCCTGCACAGTACTTAGTCTTTTTGGTAAGTGATAAACTCTGAACTTGTCGGCAAGTAGCGTATAAGAACTACTTCTAAACAACAAGTGCCATGCCTGCAGTTAGTAAGTGATAAACTCTGAAACTGTTAGCAGGTAGCGTATAAGAACTACCTCTAAATAATAGCTGCTGACTTACAGTCCCTTTTCCTATGTCTTACGTGAGAAGTTGTTGACTTTTACTCTAGCGTACTGTATTTTTTTCTAGTAAAAAGTTTTTTAGAAATTGTGGTCTAATAATTGTTAGAAAGAGTTCTAAAATTTAAAATTTGAGTTTATATTATATAATAAATATGTAAATGAAACAATTAACTTAGCAAAATTAGAAGCAAGTATATTTCTTCTACTTACAAAATTAATAATAGCTTAGTTCAGGATAACAAAAGCCGTATTATTTTGAGTTATTGTAAAATTCTCATTTTCTAAATATTGGTGGGGTGCAACCGCCCAATATTATGATAAGTTTTATAAATAATTTTGGGTTATTGGTGGGTGCAACCATCCAATAGTAGTACCAAAATTCAATTTTAGTTTTTCTTAATTGGTAGAATACAACCATCTAACTATATATAAACTTTTGAAAATTAACTTCTGATTTTTTATGGGGTTGAAATATATTTTTCTGAATAAGTTTTACAATAATATCTTACAAATTTAATTTTTATACTTGCAAAAACTAGATGATAATATGATAAAGTTCTGTGTTTTGAAGGCTTACTACCTTAAAGTGTTTTCATTTTGGTTGGTTAGATCTTGCTCAGAACAATTACTATTTTGTGTTTTACAGAATAATACACAGTTTTTGGTGGTAACTGCAAAACAAGTTCTTGAGAAGCTTAAGAGTCAAATTGCAATAAACTCTGAAAAGTTGAAATAAGTTGAAATTGGTGTTCATAATTCAAAAACAAAAAAAAAAGTTAAATTCTAAATTGTGCAAATTATTTTCTTTTTAGACAATTGAAGAGATAAATTAGACCATGACAAAGGAAAGAATGCTATGTTTGAACTTGGTAAAAAGGTCCATGAAGTTCAAGCAAAGGTTGAAAATTTAATCATTGTAAAAGAGACAATGAATTTTTTTGCATATCTTGTACCAAATATTCTTATAGAGTATAGAGTACTTAAAAATAACTCAAATTTAGAAAATATTAGCTTGCAATAAGATATTATATAAAGTAATAAATCAATATAACAAGTATGTACAAGCAAATAAAGACTAGCGAGATCTTCAGGAAGAAATCAAAAATCAACCAAAACAAATACATGATATTTTATTTTATTTTTTTTTTAAATATTAAGGTGACTACTTAAGCCCTTGGCACTTTATTAGTACAAGCGGTAGGCCAATATTAATTTTAGCACTGGCTTTACATATTTTATCAGTATCA